CAGCATCAGTATTTCGAGAATGTTTCAAACTCTTCTAAATTGTGAAACATAATGTGTTGATTCCATTAAAAAAATATTTGCACTGTGACTGAGCTCATTAATATTCATAAATGTAAATGAGTTCTGTTAATTAATGAAGAAAATGTACGTAAATGATATGCAAATTAATATGCAAATTAATATGCAAATTAGTTGCAGCGCTATGCATTTTTTCTGGGGAGAACCCTGGATGAATCAGATAGAATATTTGGTTATTTCAGTTTTTTGAGAGCTTCTATAATGTGCACAAGTTGGCAACAAGAATCTTTTAAAATTACAAACAAAAGATGTTTGAGAATGAAAATTGATTCTGAAAGTTTTTATTTCATTGTAAGCAAATTATTACCACCATAAATGCACATATGGTGTGCATCTTTTTATTAGCTACATCTAGAATTAAATATAATTGTGAAGAAGTTCAGTTTTAGATATCTACATATGTAGGGGATGAGACGGTGTGCACAATAAGATTCCAGAATCACAAATAAACATGCCTATTTTTGCCCATACTTGTTTATTTTTGCCCATTTTTGCATGTTTTCAGATATAGTTTTCTTCCAACAAAATATTTCATAAAAATTTTAAAAAGCCCAAAAATTGATGATGTGTCTATATCAACAATTATGTAATACTTTTGAACCAAAAGATCACAATGTATTCGCCCCTAAGTCGAATGCTCACAAGCCACCTTAAATGGCACTTTATAACTGAAAGGTTGTGAACACTTGTATTACCTTCTGGATAACTTCATCAGTCATTCCGGCTTCCTCACCAGCTTCAGCAGCTTCCATGGGCTCCATACCGGCCACCATGACGGCAGGTGGTAATGAAGGCTGTGTGGGTGTGGTTGGTATAATACCAGTAGCAGCCTGGGGTTTCAATGTAGCCAAGGCTGAAATGTATAAACAGTTGAAAATATAGACCGACTGTCAACCCATGTGCTTTGGGCATTAGATGCTGACCATGTGTCAATCAGAGTAAACTTTGATGACAATTATTGGCTGGGAGTTGAAAAGTAGTACTTAAGTGCCAGAGAACATGTGAATACAAAACACAAGGCTGCAGAAAAGACATTTTATTTATTTAAAAAGTATTTATGTGATTGAAGATGTATATTATACCAACTCTTATTATAATTTACAGACTCGGAAATGCATACACATGTGTTACCGTATATGAATATGTCACTTGTCCCACGGTAACCGCTACTCTTTGGGACAAGAACAATTGGATCTTTTACATGCACTGACGATAGAAACAGTACACAGAAGTGACAGTTTTACGTCCACTTCCTTATACATAAACTTTCAGCTTTCTGCCTTCTGTTGGTCATTGTTCATGGCTAAGAACACAGCTAAGACGAGTGTTACAGAACACTAGCTGCGGAAATCATACGCAATAGAAAATGTGCGAAAATCAAACATGACAGTAATGATTTTGACCATGGCCTTGTCAGACAAGTGAGAGGGTCTCTCAGAGCACCCTGGCAGCACTGCCATGCTGGTTGTAGCCTGAGAAGAGCACTGCTCTGTTAATAAACAAAATTTGTACCTACATCACACATACTTAACACATCATTCAAATACAATATGGCATGGGATGACAGTAGCTTGCGGGCAAAGTATATACCATAGTGGCACCATAAGCCTACAATGAACAGCCCCAAGACATACTTAGCTTGCCTGCTACAGTACAAAACCAACAATCCAAAACAGGTTGAATTGTGTACGAAATCAAAATGCGAAATCCCTTTAAAGGTGATTCATAAAGCTAGGACTATTATGTGAAATATTTGATAGTATGAAACGTGTAGTAAAGTCTACATGGATTCTCAGTACACACAAATGAGAATGATTGTTTTAACTTCATATATTCGATGTGTTTGTATTTCATTCACTAATGCTACTGAATAGTGTTTACACATGAACGGATTCACAAAGATTTGCATCAGTTCAGAAATATCGCCAGGTGCCAGAATTCAGAACAAGAAAGAATACAGAAAGATCCTTGTACATTTCCTGAAATTTATTCATACAGTAAAACATTTTGCATAATAGACCCATATTACCCAATAAAGCTAGGGCATGATCTCAGAGTGCAAATATAATGCATATACGACTAGGTAGATAGCAATCAAAAAGGCAAATGGAGATGACAATGATGAAACACTCACCTTCTCTTGCAGCCATCACTTCTTTAGTGAGACGAGCGATGACACGACAGGCAGCATCATGCTGATACAAGGCATGAGATAATTCTTGTCTTGCCGTCTGTAGTTGTTGTCTAAGTGTAAAACTATGCAACATACATGCATCCCATTCATCCTGTAAAGCTTTCAATATAGCTGGTATACTTGTAGCCGTGGGTGGGCGTGGCTTCACTACGGGACTCACTAAAAGCAAAATACATTCATGAGTATGTACAAGTAAATTTTATCTTAAACACAAACACTATTCTCTATATGTGCTAAATATGAACACTGTGTGAGGTCATGAGAAAAAAAAGGTTTTGGCGAGAACACCACAAAATATGCATGAAGGCAGCATGGCGATAAATGAATGCATAGCAGAAGTTAATGTGACCCCATACTGCCTGAGTGCATACTTTGCTATATTCTCATGATAACCTTATTATTATACATCTTCTTTCTGCTTGTAGTAATTATTTAATCAATGTAAAAGCCTAAAATGGCAATGGAAAAGATGTTTTGCACTGTAAAAATATTTGCACTCAGTGACACGATTCTGTCATATGCTAATAGAACTTCTGTGTCCAATGCAAACTGAGGAAGTTGTTTGATTGTGACATCAATAATCTTGAACGCTTCAATGTTCGACAACAATCTCCTCCAATTCTTCAACATTGGAATGAGTGTTGATACATTTTTGAACGAATACAGATACAGCTTCCTACAGTACTGTAAAATCTGTATTAGAAGCCACGGCTTCTATTGAAATGCTACAATGCAACAGAGGGAATGTGGTTTCTATTAGAGAAAAAATGAATTTTTGGTTCTCAAATGTTTGAAAAGAATGTTTAAAGGGGTGCGACTTCTATTAGGGATGCGGCTTCTAATAAAGATTTTACGGTAAATTCCATTGTTTTCATTGCTAGTTGTATAATGTTTTTTTTTCATTCCCTGCCACTACTACTGGAACAGTGCAATTATATTGAAAACATGGTAACCTAACTAAAACTTATCATCAGCAAATGACATACTAGGAGCTGACATGTTTGTCGTTCATGGTACATTTTCGTATACATGTACAGCTACATTGTAAATTTATTTTCCTCCATAATACAACTAGAACCATCGAATGTAATTGTTGTATGAAAATTCACTCATGAATGTTGATGAGTCGTTTCATATGAAATGTTCCCCACAGATCACAAGCAGTGTTCTCATTAAAAATGATTTATGTGACACACTCTTTAACAGAAATAAGAAAATACACATGACAATTTATTGATATGGAATGAAATATCACCAAATAACAAATATTTAAGAACATTTCGTCCATTTTCAGAGCACCAAAATACTTCTCTAAACACAGATAGGTAATTGCATCATGCGCTCTAAACTTATGGAACAATTCTGGCCCACATATTTATTTCCTGATAAGAACACAATCGGTGCATTGTGCGCCAACAATATGGCATGTATTGAGCTCAACTTACCCTTGATGTCAATCAACTGGTCTTCTGAGAGGTCTTCACCATTGATGGGATCAGTACCATTATCACTGATATATTTCTCTATTAGTCTTTTTTCAAATATGTGACCAGAGGTTGGTGACAACACGGGATGTTCCGGCACTTCGTGACTAACTATAATAGTAAAATGTCGAGTAGAAAACAATTCAGCATAATATATAGACATTTTCTACAATATGATCAAAACATCTTGATTAATTTACAGAGAAAAAAAGATGGGGGAAATTTGAGACAAGTGCGAGTACAAGCGATTTTGGAATGCTTTAGAAGAAAAAAATAATGTTCGAGGCGCATAGTTCAAAATGATGCACGCGAAAACGAGAAACAGATATTTTTTTTTCTCAGCCTAACCCATTATTTTTTTTAGATCATTACCGGAAACAATAAATTAATTTTATTTGTCCTTATTACCAAGGCTGCTCATCAATGAAAATAATTATAGTAAAATTTTTTTATTGATGTTCTAACAAACTAATTACCAGCCCAGCTGCCTAAATTAAACAGCTTACGGTATTATTGAAAATTCAATATGGTATTGCTGTATTTGCTTACATAGCACTGAAAAGAACGTAATGGTGATTTCATTCACACTAGACATTGCTAAGTATGCCGATACTTCAAAGCTTTCAAGAGTTAAAGACACTGCACAGTACGATCAGGTGAAGGTAAGCTGGTGATCTGAAAAAGCAAATTAAGCTCTGCACACTGATATTAATTTATTTTTCATTTTCCGCATTTTTGACATTTTGAGCTTTGTAATGTTTTACTTCTTTATCCTACTTAATTGACAAAATAAAACTGCCCAAGCCAACACACCACACACACGTGTAACATACGCTGTTCTTTCATTATTGTTAAATGTTATGAAGAATCTTTTAAATAAAAAAAACTGTGCTAACTTTCATATTTGAAATACAATTTCTGAAAACGTAATTTTGATCAAGTACAGACCGAAAAAATTACAGGTGTAATAAATAAGAACAATACACAGACCTCAATATTGTCTGTTTGCTTTTACACATACCCCTAACTACTATCAATATCAATCAACACATGTCAACAGATTACAACACAGTTAGCCAATCCAATCAACACAAAAGGACACGTGACATTAGAGAAGCCATAACATTGCTACTTTGAAAGTTGGATCAAAATATGGCAAACTTCCAGCACTTAGGTTGACTACAGAAGATGATACACCGTTAAACAATAAAAACGGGCAAAATACAATTAAAAGCAATAACGATAGTTCAGAATAACTCGGGATTCCCTTTGTTTACGCGCCTAGATTCATAGGCATGGCATGGAACACTGTGTATGTATGGCTAAAGTTTGTTTAACAACCCGAGAATTTGTTGTTTTCTTGGAAACGGTATTAACTCACGAGCGTACCAGATATAATCCAACAACTTTATACATCTACAGCATAAGAATATCCAGTAAATAAATATTCCCGTTTCAATGTAAGCCAATAAAACCAAGAAAATAATAAAGAAGCATTACTTACTTGAGCAGACAAGCGCCATGTTGGATCAACGTGACTTTCTAAGGCATTCTGGGTAAATACTTTTTAATGTATGTTTTTTATTTTATTTTATTCATAAATCGCTCACGACCGCTATTATGGCGGTAACGTTATAATAACAGTTCCTCAGATATAACGATATGATGGTTAAAATATTGGTGCGTGCATTAGGAGTTAACCAGCTCAAACGCGCGTGTGACCTTTGCCCCCGGAACTCCCGACTACAAATAGGAAACCGACAACACATTGATTCAGATTATTGGCAAGGCCGGTGTGAACAAGAGTTACGTAAACATGATGAACAAATTGCTGTTTTTCAGCGCATTTCTTGCGCTGGCGCTATCAGAAGACGCTGAAAAGAAGCCAATTATGAGCGCCAGAGTTGAGGTATGTAAAATAATGTGTATTTACAGCGAAATATTGGAGCGAACCAATGGTACAGTATTTTTGCCATCTCAACATGTTTTATCGTAAACATCTGCGGCCATAAGTACACGTGGACATAATAATGTTTAAATTTGACAAAAAGGAATATTATGATTGACATTACAATTTTATTTTTCCTTGATTTCTTTAATGTTTATTATTGATTAATTCTAATGTATATTAAATCAGAGATGCGTTAAATGTAAAGGAGATCCATGGCTTTGAGTTCATGAGATCTGCAATGCATTAAGTTCCAGACTGTGCGAAAATGTATATAAATATATTTTCCAATATACTTCAACATTAAAATAGATCACTTTCACAAAATTGGTACTTGTATGATCAAATTTGTGATACTATTCAATGCAGATAGTGAAATTAGAAATTAGAAAACAGGAAGTAAAAGCTGATTATATATATATATATATATAGGGTCATGCGAGCAATCATTTTGGAATTTGTTAGAACATGATCAGATATTCATAATTATTAAATTAGTGAAGTGACATTGCTATGATTCATTACGGTTGATGTATCTGAGCTGTCGCTGAATACTGGTAATAATCCATAGTAATTATGCAAGTTTTGGTACCGCAGATATAATCTGTCATTAACTTGCTGGCAATTAAATTTGCATTACCCTACTTTTGTCATCGCCAATGCATGGTTATAACAATTATATAAAACAGTAAATGTGAATATGTTTGCAAACGTAATGTCAGCATTGGGTTGATTGAAGGTTTGATACTCCGGTGGTTGTGTGCCTACTCAACAGCAAAAGTGTGAGTGAATATACTGCCCACTTTGCAGGCTTGTAACAATCATAATTTGCCAGAATAGCTTCCAGATGGAGGTGACATTAAGCTGTCAGTCCTGCGTGCAGTTCCGTTCTTCGTGTATATAAAAAAAAATAATTAGTAGATTACTGGTGAATATCTGTAACTTTCTCTGTAAAATAAAGAAAAACATGTAATACATGCACACAAAACCTCACAAAATTAGATGAATTATCAACATCTATTGGGTTACCTGTGCAAGTCCTATTTTTTAGTACATGTATTTCTCATGTCCGAGTTTTTCCCCCGAGAGTAACTGTAAACAGTCTCAAAGACATTCATAAATCATTGTTTTTTATTTTGTTCTAACAGTGATAAGTATTTTTCAATGGATGAAAGACAGTTAAATTGACAAATACAAAATTATCAAGGAAAGCTGATATTATTATTACCATACTGTATTTGTTGTCATTTATGTAAACACATTATATAAAAATTAGGTTGTGTTTTGAATTCATGTGTGGAATAACACTATGGTTTGAATCGATATAAAGTGTCTTTCCCAGTCCATGACTTCTCAGTAGTAGCCCATGGCCCAAACACTATCTAATATATGTATTATTTACTATAATGGTTATATTTGGGAAATGGTAGCTCATATGGACTGCTAGGTTTGCAAAGAATTAGACCAGACTTTTATTATCCCTTGTTTCGCGAACCCGCCGAATAAACAGGAGCCGAAAATGAAATAAAAATAAAATTGTATTTCAGCGTAATTTCTCGCGCTCGCCGACTTGTAAGTGCAAAAAATTGCTAAAAAAACTTATTTTATCTTCATTTTTTTCCGCCCGCCGCATAACAAACCCAAGTTGCATTTTCGTGGGAGTATCGTGATCAAAGTACCGAAGTCTTGCGCAGATGAGAAACAAGGTTATACCAGTACATGGAATACAATTTTATTTCATTTCTTCTCTCCAATCAATGATCTCACTTACAATTCTTTGAGAATCACACAAATCTAATGGGGAAAAAAGAATTAATTTTATTTTTTTTTCGCCCTCCTCAAAAAAACTCGAGAAACAAAGAATAAAAAAAAATTCTGGCCTTACTACTGAGTAATTTGAACTTTCCATTGATATTCTAAATAACGGTAGGGAATAGGTGATTGATGATGTAAATTGTGTCTGTGAGCAGTGCCAGCAACGAAAAAAACTACTAAATAGTACCATAGAAATATTAACATGCCCGGCTTTATAGAACCATATGCTGCCCGTTGTACAGAGTAAAATTTGTGCCAAAGGCTGCTATTTTTTGCAACATGCTGTGTCAATATGGGTCCCATGTGATAAATGCAACTTGTGTAAAATAATGTAGAATACTTTATTTTCACTTGGAATTAATTTTCGCTATTTTCGCTGAAGGAATGATTCAGTGAAAATAAAATCCAGCAACTATATCTTTTTTCCTATATTTTACATTCAATATGTCAAAAATTAGTGAAAATAAATTGCCGTGTACATACAAAACACCAAAAATGTCTTTTCAGCAAAAATTAATTCCAGCTAAAATAAAGTATTTTACAGTATTATTTAGACAAAATTTGAACAGTCACACTAGATGTTGAATTCTGTGAAATAAATATTACCTGTGTAATTCTGATTCATGTTTTCTGTTTTTCTTTTTTTCAGAGTTGCCAAGGATGACGACTGAACAGGCTTCCCAAAGTGAAGAAATTCATCTTTGAGGATTTGCCTTTTTTGTATCCTTTACAATTTTCGTCACCAGCTTCATTTTGAGTTTAGCGTTTAACACAAATGAGGGATTGAATTCAATTAATTTGAGGTCTGTCTGGGGGAGGGGGTCTTCTCAAAAGTTAGGTGATGAACTGAAACTGTAACACATCAAAAAACGGTACAACTCGACTCGCTTTAATCATCAATAGCGTGCATACAATGAATGCGACAGAGGTGAACTCGTGAACAGCAACTACTACACTTGAGTGGCGAAAAACAACGGCAGTGCCTTAGATCCTGTCTGGTATAAATTTTATGGTGTGAAACGATCTCATTAACTAATTAAATGTGTGGTGCTTACAAAAAATAGTATTTTTTGATGCTGCGTGTGCAAGTCCCCATAGGATTATATTCATAAAATGTAATGCAGAAAAAAACAGATGGTTCTTAAAATGATGATTCTGAGAATTATACTGTCAATTAAATGTGGTATGAATAAACAAGGTCAAAGGTTATAAAAATTGATAAGAAAATGAACCTGCCCACATGGTCTCGCATAATACATAGTGTATTACACTAAAAAAAATTGGCCATATTGAACCATATTTACTATAGACAAATGCAATCATGGCACCGACTGAATACATTTTTCATAGTATTTTTTTTTTTTAAACATTTCCCAGTGTCAATGTGCAGCAGCCTCATAGAATCAGCAACAAATACAGAACGTTTGTTACATAGTGCTCTCAAGTAAGGCATGCTTCAACATGAAGCTGATGTAGAAATGATGGAGATTATAAAACTAGATACAGTGAAGATTATATCTTTGGCTTGAGCCCCTGGATGTATTATTGCCATTAATCCCTGCCATATGGACATTGTAGTAATAGAAAACAATGTTAATATTAAAATTTCATTTCTGTGCATTAATTAAATCATAATTCCACATGTTTGGCAATTAAATTCAGTTTTTATGTACATTTGGTTGGCCCTGTCCAAAATAAGAGATGGGAACTAAAGTATCTGATTTAGTTTCTAACTCATTGTTTATGCATGTATGCCTTTTAATCTGACCATGGAGTAACAGCAGTGTGGCTTATTGTGATTGGTTACTTAACTGATGCAATATGGTTACAATTACCGCCTTCGAAAGCTTATACGAATTAATCCTAATTATGTACTCAAACACATTGTACTGTGACATATGTTGATATTGGGGTGGCTTTGCTTGTTTATTCATGATTTCCTTTTCTCGTCCATTTTCCTATAAAGTATACCATCACGTAGTACATCGGTTGGGTGATATAATTTTACTCTGATCTTGTATTTTTATATTATTTGCATATCATACCATCATATCTGCACTTTAAACTCAATAAAACATGTTATCTGACAATCTAGTATTACCTTATAAAGTGAGGTTGTGATTGACAGGCATTGTTTACATTTGTGTGGTCATGACATATTGTCATTCCGTGCCTTCAACAGTAGAGAAATAATTAATTTCAGTTATGCTGGTTATAGTGGAAATATAAAATATTATGAATTTATAATGATTCTCTTCATGAAAAGATATATATTTTGAAATGCCGGATCACAAATATTTATTTTTTAATTATAATTATTTTTACCATATTTGCTATTATCTGTGCATGCACTTGTACAGGAATGACATGGGTGTGTCTAAGGTCTAGTATTCAATAAATGCAACTATTGGTTATATGCTATTTTAGAGATGCTTTTAAATAGAGTAAATTTTACATCTATGAGCAGTATCAGGTAAAATTAACACAAGAATTACAATTTCTTGTTAATCATTGAACTAAAGCATGAAATATAGAAACTTGATTTTTCATGGCAATATAATCACCATATTCAAATTTATCGACCACGCTACTCTAAAAGACTTGTGTCAATCACCACTGGGGTTGGATGATTTTAAGAACGCTCAAATTAAATCTCACACCATATGTTACCTATCATTTGTATGGGATTAACGAACTCTGGTATCTACTCATTTTAATACTGAATAATTTAGTATACTTACTCTCAATTCAGTTTCTGATGTATCTAGGAGGCTTTTTTAAATGCCAAAATCTTTTCCCAGCAACAAGTAGGTCTAACATTTCATGCACATGTATTTTTCAAATAATCCAGTTTAGGATGCCAATGCTCTTACCCATTGCGTAATTGGTCATCAGTGCTATGTTTAAAGCCCAGTGACATTAGCATAATTTTCTCTTGCGTTGTCGTAAAAAGGGAAAAAAACAACCAAATGTAAACATGATAGATATGTACAAATAAATTTAGAGTATAAAATATAATCATGTAAACAGGTATACGTTACATGTAAGCCAATCATTTTAGTAAACATTTGCTTTTGTACTTGCATCACTCTTGTTGAAACAAAAGCCTTTAAGTTTAATAATATTCTCAAGTGACCAACATGCATTGGATGTGTGTTTAAGGTTAACAATTTCAGTCTACTGCTTGCTCAATTTCTCTATCTTTACATTGAATTCTGATGAAAATATGCTTCTTCGGAATGAACTGTAATTGATGTTAATTTGATACTTTTTCAAGTTGCACAGTATTTGTTGTGAAAATGGTATTTGTGGGACACTACAGTAAGGCACAAGTAGGCCAGTAAGCGTAGAGCTCCTGAACCCCACTCCATGTCTACTATGAATAGATTGCAGAGTGCTTTAATGTTTGTAGCTTTCATATAATCCCTTTTAGTGCCAGAGTCAACTTTTGTCATGTACAGACTAAAACCTGAAAAATGATGATGCTCAGAGAGTTGATTAAGTATCACAAATAATGTTTGTAATGATTATTACAAGTTCTTACTAAAAATAGAACTAACATAATTATAGTATAGCAGTACAGTATAGATAATCATGTTTGCAGACGATAAAGACATTTTAAATCTAAACTGCATTACTTTGCTGTGATTTTCGGTAATTTATTAATTTGTTAAAACCCTCAAGAAATTTCAACGCCACAACTTTTACAAATTCATCTGTTGGCTAGTATTTTATTTTTTTGTTTACTCATTTGTTCGCCTGATATGAACATGCTTAGGGATAAGACTCTTAGCTTAGTAACGTCACTTGAAACAAAGTTTTCACCTTAACTATTTTTTTCAGTCATAATGTAGAATTCAAAGCAATGCCAGGTCGTAACCCTGATCTTCTCTTACTGGATGCAGAAGGAGAGGTCGTGGAGGTAAAACAAAAAAATAGTTTTGTCTTTGTTCATCTAACATGACCTGTATACTGTATTCTGAAAAAAATGAATTTGGGAATTGTTCTTGCCTGGCCAATTAATTTTGAAATTAAATTTAGTGAAAATTACAGAAAGATGAATACTCGATGTCACTATTGTTGAGAGAATTGATCTCTACTCAAAATTGCATACGTGATATGGTCTGGTCTGGTGTGCGGGTGATTTAGACACGGGTCAAGCACAATGTGTAACAAACTGTTGTGTTTACTTTACAGAAAATTGATCTGAGCGTATATGATAGGGATGAATGCAATCATTTATTAAAAAGCAAAGGTTTTTATAAAAAAGATGAAAAAGATGGCGAAGTGCCGGAGGAGTTTAAAACTGGTCCCTATGTGGAAAGAATAGTGGAGAAAGAAACTAAGGAAGAGGAACCAGAAGACAAAGCAGATAAAAGGAAAACTGGAAAAGTTGAATTATAAAGTGGAATTGGAATCTTTTTTTTATAAAATGGGATGAATTATTGTGGCAGGATCTTTTTCTGATGTTTGTAATAATGGGGAGTTAGGGAGTCGTGGATTTTCGAGAAAGCTTTTGTGGTGTACTTTTACAGGTGTGATATCAAAATGCAATTACATGTAGGTATGTGAAAAAATGCAAGTTAAAATCTACTCTCGTCAATATTACTTTTAAGAAATGGCGGGAATTACCCAGTGGTGCTATAATTAAGGACCAGGTATATCCAGTATATGATGTATTGCAATTTTACACCTGTGGAAGCACCCCTAACCTTCTCTCTAAATTCAAGTTGAGTTGCACCTGTTAGTTTTCAATGTACATTTAATTTTGGGGAGCTAGGGGGTACTTTTTACACAAACTTAGAACTGAATGAAGTTAGAACAATCGTCTCAAGACAGATAAAAGTGCATGTAATGAAAAATATTCTCTAAATTATTGATTTGTTTTTGTATATCTTGTAAATGTTTCCATCTGTCATGGCTGACTGACATTTTGGAAGAAATCATGTGATTGCTTTTACATTTCCTGATTGGCTCCTTGTATTGCATACATCTATAGCTTTCAATTGAGTTTACATTTTTAATGTGGTTTTGGATAATAAGGTAATGAACGCATATAAAGCTTGATACTTAAAATGTGAAGTACAATTTGAGTACAGGATCTTTAAGAGTACATTTAGAACAATATGCTTCAGTCTGTTTGTTGTAATCTTCCATATTTAGTTTACCAATCATGAACTCTAGAGGGGGTGGTTCACAAATTCACACAAATATACTAGATGGTGCTATTTATACTTAGGGACTTCTAATGTACAGTAGATTTGTATAATCTGTCCTCCACAGAGCCAGGATCTTGTCCAGTAATTCATAAGTCACAGTTACTATGGTTACAGTGTGTATCCATTGTTTATTGAGGAATTTTCAGCATTATGACATTGTCTACTTAAAGCTTGTAAGCAGGGTAGGTGATCGAGGAGGAATACAATTCCCGCTGAACTCCTCAATGAACTGTGGAGTATAAGGTAACTGTAGCTTGATGTTGACATGCATTATCAACCCATTTTTGTTTAATCACTTGCAGTATGGGGGAAAAAAATAAAATAATTTTAGACATAAGTTATTTTGTTATTCGCTTTGTGTTCAAGTCGAATCTTTGTTTTTATAATGTGTTCTGAGACTTTTATACA